TTAGCATGATATCTCTCATGAAACATAAAATGGAAAAGAACGTGTGGTCAGATGAGCATTATCTAAAGGTTAGTGAATCTGGTTGCACATCTTGGACGTGACAAATGGGGGTATAAGATCCAGTGAAGAATTCATGTTCTTCAGTCAACAAATCTAAGCTGTCTTTCTCCCGCTTCAGTAGGTCAGCAGGAGCTGAAGCAGGTTCTCTATGCTGAGCGCAGAAGGTTCCCTGAGTAACAGCTCTGGGGGCATCCATGTAGAATAGTTGTGGTTACAGGCTGGGGCCAACAGAGAACAAAGAGGCAAGTGATAGCAGGACCAGAGACTTTTCGTAGGAGGCATTTCGGATTTTTTTTTTTTTCTTCAGGAGACTTAGTGGGTAGAGGTGCAGCGTTTTGCTTCTTATAAGCAAGATGCTCGTTCTGGCTTCCTTTCCTTCTCCCCAAATACTATAGCTTTTAGAACTGGGCTAGACCACAGATCAAAAAGAGAAATTGGTTATATTTGTGGGTTTTTTTACACTGGAATTTGTTAAATGTGTACACTGATTTTCTCTTAGGTCATTATTTTAATCTGTCTTCTGTCCAGTCCTTAGTTCTGGAAAAATTTACCTCCTTGACAAGATGAGGAAGGGAATGACCATGGGTTGAAGCATTCAGACTCTTCCCTTTAATTTATTCAAAGCTGCAAGAACCTACTAACACATGATTTTTAAATGCTTGATGATCTCCAGCATCCCCAGTGCCAAAACACGTACTACTTGAAAGCACACTGAAAGTTAGCAAATGTTATAGGCCTGTGACCTTTACTTTCCAAAATTTATCTTCCATTTTCACTCTAAATATTTTTGCTCAGTGGAAAAAGAATGGCCAAAGGAAAATGAGCATCTGTTATCCAGACAGCAAACTCGGATGCAGCCAAAAATGCTCCTCTGGCTTTCAATGTTGAAGGAAAATATAACTACATGATCTGTTAGCAGTTGGAGGGGGTATGAAAGGGAAGCTGCTTAGCAAAACTAAGTGAACTAGTGGAAAACTGCATAATCCTTTAATACTCAAAATATGTATTTTTAAGAAATTTAATAATTTAGGGTTGGACATTTTTCAGATAAGTGAGTATGACTGCATGAATGACTAATTACCAAACAAGATTTCTCTGAACAGGCAATACCTCCGGTCACCTTACTAAACTTCCATCCTTGGTGCACAATGAGAGAAGAGACTGCCATGCTCAATTTTAAACCAAGTCATCCCCACTTGACTCAGCAGCTTGTGGTAGGCAAGGAACCTTCGTCTGCCAAGGTGAAAGTGGGCTAAACAATCTTAAAAATGCCATTCCTAAGTGAGCCTGTTGCTCACCTTAGCAGCAGCTGCTTTACATTAAAAGGGTTTATTCTGAAAATCATTGGTACCGAGTTCTACAATCTTTTGTCCCAGTAGCGCTGCTGAAGACAACAGAAATATCAGGAGTGCACCATATGAGATCAATAACACGTAAATGATTAATTTACTGTGTGTTGTACTACTTCCTCAGAAGGACTAAGATTTTTTGTAGTCAGAACATTCATTCCCATTGTACTTACTCCAATTTCTAAATAAAAATATAATCTTTCTACTAATTTCACCGGACATCAGATCATACTTTAAGTCACCAGAAAGTCATACTGCTGTCTGTTAAACATAGAGCAAACTAGCTCAAAGCAAGCAAACATTTGATAAAAAGATAAACAGAATATTTTCATGATTTTTAAGAGTTCAGCATTTGCTCAGGTCATCCACCAGAAAACTATCTGACATTAAGAGGTATTGCATACTTTTAAAACGTGTTTAAATTTTAAAATCCCACCAACGCTTAATTTTAAAATCCCACCAAAACACAGTCTAGAAACACACAAAAATAATACAATATCAATTAAGGTTTTCTTAGGTAAGACATTTTTAGATATAACTTCTTTCAAAAAAATACATTATGTCACTGAGGGAAATGCCAAACTAAAAAATAAAAGAAAAAACCCCACCATATTTCTGCCCCAGTATTCTTATAGCTACAAATAACACTTCGATGGCTAGCTGGTTTACAAAATTAAAAGAGATTTATTTGCAGCATGCTTTTCTTGAGCAAGAGATAGACGCCTTTGTACGGTCACTTTCACTACAATTATGTTCCCTCATTGCTTTAAATGTATTAATATGTTAACAGGAGGTAAAGACCATTTTAAGCGAAAGTAAGGAAGGTGGTAGTGAAAACTAGTAGCAAGGATGGCATTTGCTATTTTTAGGTATATTTACTTTGTATTTTCAGTGTCTCTCTAGTACAGCATTAATTAACAGTGTTTATTTAGTTCACTTTTAGAAGCATAAAAACCAGTATGTACAGAATGGCACCTTTAGATGAACTTTAATGCAAGGGATTATCAATACCTAGAAAATCAAAAGCACCTGCTGATCTTAAAAATATCCCTCTAAAGAATCACTTCCACATTGCCTTGAAATAGAATGTCATGTTAAGATCATTTTATCTTGCAAGAGCATATATAACAAGTTACCTGTGAATTGGAGAATGTTTCAGACCTTTTTTGTTCAAAAGAACGTATTTTAGCTTCACTCATCTTATCTGAGTCTGCAAAAATATAATGTCTAGGAGAGTACGACTCTGACAAACAGCTAAGTAACCTCAGGATTTCTGTGGTGTGCCCACCTGTAAAAACAAAATAAACTGCAGTTAACATATGAAAAATTTTGTAACTTTCAATTTCTTGAGCTGAATCAGTCACTTTTCCTTTTAAAACTTATTAGTACTAATATTATCGGTGACACTCTTCTGAGAGTAGAGGATTCAATTAAAGGATGGTCGAGGCTGTTTAAGTAACATGAAGACAATTCAGCTCCCACTGAAGCTGTATTGATGGAAGTTTGTCAGTTAAATGGGGTTGAACCAGGATCACACAGAAGTACGACGTTTGTGTTTAGTGTCCTGTACACGATGCAAAAACAAGCGGGCAAACAGTTATACTGTAGTCCACACTCAAAAGCCATACCGTGGTGCAACGGTCAGAACGAAGCTGGACGGCGTCTGGCTCAGAGCCGCGCCATGGAAGCGTACCTCCCAGGGACCCTACCCAGTGTTCAGTCCTCCGACCTGCGAGAGCAGCAGGAGCTGCGCTCCCCCAGCTCCTAATACTGAAATCGAGCGGGCAGCGATTTCACTCTGCAGCTACGCCAGCGTAAAAGCTGAGCGCTTACAGAAGAAACAGTCCAGCTCCAGCCAAGCGCTTTAACCACTGCCCTTGAACGGGTGTTGACGACCTTCTAACTGCAAGGTCGCTTTGTTCAGGTAGCTAAATTGGCAGTAAACTGGAGAGAAGGGGAGGGTGTACTTATTGTGTTTTTTGACAGCAGGGTTAATTTTTTGGTTTTTTTTTTTTTTTTGGTCAGTTGAGTTTCCTGAACCAGAGTTACAGGAATACCTGTAACAGTGGGAGAGGGAAGATTGTGTGAGTAGGTAAAGTGGAGCTGGCTCACTTTTTATCTGTTGGGCTGGATCGGCTTAACATCAAACTGCACCCGTAAGTATGTGCATAAGCATTTACTGGACGTGTTACTTTTCACCCTGCAGGAAGCTGCAGACCAAAATAGCAAACTAAATGTATTCCTACTACCTCCCGCTGCCCAGTGTCATCCGCCTCCTAAGAGATCTTTGCTGTAAAAGTCAAGCGCTCTTAGCTGGCAGACAACTGACAAGCAGCGAGAGCTATGCTGCTGCATTAGACACGAGGGTTTGCCGCCTTTCCGTAGAATTTCATGCAGTATTTTTCAAACGTGTTTGGAGGGGTTTTCTCGTGAGCGACGGTTTGTTGAAGCTTTCACAAATTCTAATGCAATCATCTGAGTATTCACAGAAGAGCAGGAGATTCCTACTTCAAAAAAGTATCGAAGAATAGGCTTGAACATTATATGAACCTTAACTGACTTACGAATTATGTCACCTGGTAAGCTTATGTATAGTGAATGTATTTTTTTTAATATATACAAACTAGATTCCAAAGGACCGAAGGAAAACAAGCACATTTCCAGCCCTGGTGGAAGCAAAAATGACCTGAAAAATTATAAAACCGCCAGTCAAACTCAGATTGCAGAAAGATCATGGGATTATTACTCAAGTAGTCGGTGCGTAAAAACCATAGGGATACTGAGGTGATGAAATCAAAGCTTGCCTGGATTTGTCAACTGCAAATTTTCAAGGCAGACTAATTTTTTTGGGCACACTAATTGCCCTGCAACTTTGGGGAGGTCACAAGGAGTAGCAGATGTGTGTGCGTCCCCTTGGCGCGGGGTGACACGCTTGGCCAACAGCACTGCCTCTGACGGACCCACGTGAGGCTCTCGCAAGTAAACCACGGAAACGTGGTTTGGGCAAAATCAGTACAAAATGCCACGTACGTAAGGGGCGTACCGATCTTTGGAAAGCTTTGTCCTGAATCGCCATCGATAATTTTCTGTGAGAAGACCGAGCAGCCGCACAGGTCTGTCCTGCATCGGTTTTAGTCAATATATTCGTTAACGGCTTCGATGAAACGCACGTGCCCGTCTGAAGGAACGGTTCAGAAACCGAACTGTCGGGCATCGATACGGGCGAAAATAAAGACGAAGCTTAACAACTACCCAAATCGAGAACTAAAAAACC